ACCTAATCAGATAATCTTACTCAGCGATCGGCCACACTGATTTTCCTTTCGCATTGCTATTTACAATGGAAGAAAAAGATAGAAAATAAAAAAAAAAAGAAAACATAACAGAAAACAATGACTGAACATGAATATTAAACGAAGAGAGAGAGAAACTGATCAAAATGTACACAGGTATTAAAGAAAAAATATACGATTAGCTTCCTTTTTATTATATCTATAAAAAAAAATCAAAGAAGACAAAAGACGAAGAGAAAAAATAACAAAAAAACAACAACGACGACGACTATTCAGATAATAACTATTGATGGCATGTTATTATTTTCGACTACTTAGAATTGTTTCTTCTGCATTCAGAAACTGGCAAGGGAAATGGAAAAAACATTATTCTCTTTCTCTCATTTTTTTTTTCAATATTTCTCTTGCTTTTCTTTCTCTATAAGAGCTAATTTCGTCATCATCACTATCGTCAATACTATTTTCCTCATCAAATAAAACGAAAAATTAATAATAATAATAAAAAACGTAAAGAAAGAGTAAGTTTGTCTGTCAATAATAACAAGTTTCTAATCAAAATACAAAACAAAGGAATATTTTATATCCGTATATACACATATACATACATATTTAATGGTGACTAATGTTTATTTGTCTATTTATCTGAATAGAATACGATGAAACTGAGTAATGTAATAGATTGAAAAAAAAAATAACAGAACAATAATACTATTAGGAATCTCACTAGAAAAAATGAGTGGTTTATACAACTGGTATGCTTAATGAACCAATGAGTAAGATTCTAGATAACAGAAAAGTAATCAAAGAAAAAAAAATGTTTTTCTTCTTCTCATCTAGAGAAAGAAAACAGCAGGAGATTTTCACCTTACTCACGAAATGATAAAAGCATGTTGTACAGTCAATCAGTATTATTCTCAAACAAGTCATGACCTAGCTGTAATTCTTTACACTATAGTTATTTGCTCCCTTTCTGTTCTTCTTAGACTGATGATGATGATGATGATGATGGCGGTCTTAGTAGTAATAGTGGTGGTGGTGGTTATTGTTGTTGTTGTTGTTTTTCCTATTTCTACTGTTCTCGCGACATTTTCTTTCTCTCTCTCTCACTCTTTTTCGCATGCTGGAGCACGCCATCTCGCTCTTCTAATCGACAACACATTTTTTATCGCCGGTCTACTACAACGACTACGACTAGTATACTAGCAGAATCATCGCTACGACTTTTTTCCCTTGCGACGACATGTTCGGAACTCAATTTTTTCCTTCTCTTTTCTTTTTCTTCTCCTCCTTCCTATTTCTCTATTCTTTTCCGTGTTTTTTTTCTCTAACACGCATTTTTTTTTTCTTCTTGATGTTATATCTGTAATATCTCGAGTTCTTTTGTTGGCAATAGTAGTAGTAGCAACAGCATCACATATAACACCCTCAACAAGATGAAAATCGCTTATCGCATCATTGTCGTTCTTATACTTGAGAAAAAACGACGGGAAGAATAAGGACGAGCAAAAGACGATTATTATTGATATTGAACACATCGAAAGAAAAAAGATGAAAAACAACATAAAAAAAAATGAAAAGTAAAAAAAAGAAGAAGAGATTTCTGAGAATACAGGAAATTGGTTTATGCTGCGACGAGTACCACCACACGAACCATTTCCGCATCGATAAGCTCATTGTCGAATGAATTGAGCTCATCATCATCATCAGCATCATTATAAATTGAAAGATTTCTTTTGAGAAGCAAAAAAAACCGAGACGATTTCTATATTCGTAATGAACTATTTCGGTAAACAAATACGTATGTTAGAACAATTGGGAAATTCACCATGTGTTACGATATTTTGAGCGGGTATAAATGGAAACAACAAGTCTTTAAGAACGAACAAGATTTATGGCGGTATTGAACCAATTAATTATTTTCATATGTTATTATGATAAAAATTAATAAAATTATAGAAAAAACATGTTTTCTCCTTCTATTATAACATTAAAAATAGACGTGCAAGAAAGATAAAGTTTGTAATCAAAAATTTTTTTAGATAGTTAATGGAATTACGAGGTCGCTAATAGACGGTTAAATTGTTATAGAAAATATCATCATTTGATTAGACTATTAAAACTAAAAAGAATTGCGAAACAAGCAAATTACCCTAAAACGATCTGAAGATTTCAGTTCAATGATGAGGAATTAATTAAATTCATGTGAAATTTGATTCGAAATAAATAAAACTGAAATTGACCGAAAAAAAACAAATTAGTCTTTCTTCAATTGATAGAAGAAGAGTCCAGTCAAAAGCTATCTCTAACTTAAAGAAATAAGATAGGATAACATCTGTATTTAATTCATGAAATACGAAACAAAAAACTGATTCGTAATTGGATACTTAAAGATCAGATTTCTATATAAGTGTTCTTTCTTTTCTTATACATGTCATATAGGTGGTCTATAACATACCTTTCATTTCAAGATTATATTTTTAAAAAAAAGAAGAAGAACTCCAGGCGTGTACTCATAGATTTTAACAACAAGAGAAAATTAATTGAACATCTATAATGGTATTCTTCAAATGAATGCAACTCATATATAGAATCATTACATAGTTATTCTATATAATATTGCCACTTATGAATACACACTTCAATTTAATATATATAGTTTAGATTGATGATACTGTTCATAAATAACAACAGATATGATTTGTTTTATACTTTAATAAATGTATTTGTGAAATCTTGTTTTTTTTGTATGATATTTATTTCGAAACAAAATAATTAATGATCTATTTTAGAGAAGATTTTGAAGAGATTATACGAAGAGAGATAATTAAAAGATTAACATATATCAATTAAAAAAAGAAGAGATAGTACGTGAGATGTTGAGTCCATAAAATAATATTATTTTTAGATGAAGTATACTAAAAAGGTCGTGATGAAATATTTTTTTATAAGCATGATTAAGGTCAAAGTGAAAAAAAAGCAATATAAATTTTATGGATACAAAGTATAATAAAAATCAGTTTATTATTTGAATGTAATAGAGTAAGACCTACGATTGAAATATTATCGTCGAAATTATTTTTAAGAGAAAAGAAATGTAGATTAGAATCGTAAAAGTTTGACAAAATATTTATTAAATCAATATCCTAAAAGCATTATACAATTTTGCAGATTAATTACATTTTAAATTATAGTGCAATTTATCTTAAGATTTTTCCTAAACATTCTTCTTCTTTTTCTCTGTGTGTAATTTTTAATTTAAGTTCTGATTAAGAAAAAAATATGTCACATATTAAATAATAAATGTGTTTCTTTTAACAATATGAAAAGAAAAAAAACAAAATAAACCGGATATTAAATTAAAAAATAAAAATTTGTTTCTTTTTTTCTCAATAATCGCTTTCATTTATATCCAATGAATTCATTCCATTCGATAATGTGTTAATTCGATTTTCTATAGAAATAAAAAAACATAAATAAATTTGATTACAAAATTAAAAGATATACTTGTTTGATTTGTAGTTGATTGTGATGGATGTTCATTATGTTTTTCTAATAATTGTTGTGGTTTTGTATAACCAGGAACAGATGTTGGACTCGTTTGTTGATCTTCTTGTGTCATCATTTGAAGAAAACGAAATGCACGTGATGGATTTGTTGCACCTGAAAAACGTTTAGCTTCAGGTTCACGTGCACGAAAACTTGGCGGTGCTAAATAAAAAAAAACTTTGAAATTCTTCGAAAAATTAGAATTATTAATCTTACGTTTATTATATATTTCTGCAAGATCATCTCGATTATTGACTTCTTCAGATCGATTGATTGGTAATTGTTTAGATGTATCATATTGATTTTGTAGATATTTAAATGATCGAGATGGTGTATTAGTCATATCACTACTTCGTCGAAGACCAGATTTATCTATTGATTCTTGAGTTTTTGGTACTGGACTATTATTATCAACATCATCATCATTATATTGTTCTTGAAGATAACGAAATGAACGTGATGGGTGTGCTGACGCACCGCTGCCTGCACTTGCGCGACGATCAACCGAACTTTTTTGATCTAGAGCAGGTTGAGCAACTAGAAACAAAACACAGATGTCTGTTCTATATCGTGTCCTTCAACCTTTCATATGCAGAAATAATTATGTGAGAAAAATTTCACATTATCGAACTTATAGCGAGGTTAATTAGATAATCAATTACAGATAAAATAAGAAAAAAAGAAAGGATTTTAATTCTAACAGCCATGTTGAAGAAACAAAGAAAAATCCTTGGAAATTATTTTGAGTATAAAATGATTACTTAGTATTGAATTTATACGATATGAAAAAAAAGTCAATCGTTATATGTTTCGGTAGTAACTAAAATTCTTTCTGTAATCTATAGATAAAATGTTGCCATTAATATAATAAATATCTTTATAAAGATTTACTATTTTCATTCGAGTAACTTTTTAAATTTCTATTATTTGATAAGTTGGACATGACCCAAAAAATAGTAATCATGAAAGATAATAAAAAAGAGAAAAGAAGATTTTTTTATAAAGGTTAAATGTTAACCTGCTGATTGATTTGTTGAAATAACGGTCGGTGTAGTTTTTTCACTATCCGAAATCCATCCTTCAAGCATTTGAAATGAGCGTGTATGTGTAATTCTATATTAGAGACAAAAAAGTCATTTTATTTTCTTTTTTTTGATTTAACATACACATCAGTATCATGTTGTATAAGTTTTTTTGGTGGTACTGGTTGTTGACGAGTATACCTGAACGGTTGGATGGGATTACTACCTGCATAATGATGTTGACTTATTTGTTCAGGTGGAACAATCATTCGTCGATTCATAATTTGATCAAAATCTTGTATATCTTTACTCGTTGATCTAGATTTATATTGGCTGAAAAAAAGAGAATCATTCATAATTGTTCAAAAAAGTTCAAATTATTCATTTTTTTTCGCTAAATTTCATGTAACATTCTTCGCATACCGAAAATTGTTAGAATCAAAATAAAAAAATCCTATTAAATAACATACAAAACTCACCATTATGATTTTTTTATATATATAACAACTAATCGAAACTGAAGCAATATATTAACTGATGGTTATTTTTTATTTTTTATTTGTCTATGTATGTTTTGTTGGGTGATTATGTTTTAAGTAATATTACACACAAACATTACTTTTCTCCCGGTCTTTTTTCGTTTGCACAAGATAAAACACACACTCACGCGCTTTTGATAGTGTAGTAAAAAAAAAACGAAATGTGTGTCGATACAACATGGCATATATATGAAAAAAATAACATACGAAAGTATGAAAATGAAAAGTATTTAAAGGACACAAAAGAGAAAAGTGGGAGAAAACCGTTTGCTATTAAGTTTTACCTATATCCTACGGCAAGGTGAGCCGATCTAAAAAGAAATCTGATTGAAAAAATTTGTTTCATCACTTAAATAAATTTTTTTTCCTTGGTTTCTTCCAATGTCTCATAAAAAAATCTCACACCTTTAAAATAAAAAAAGAAATTAATCTATTTCTTTTCTTTCTTCTGTATGTCAATAGATTGAAAAAAATATCTAATCTGTCATTATAGGATAAAATCGTATACCGTTTGATATGAGATGAATCACGCATTTTTGACAAATCAAGTCCTTTTGGTATGTATGTAAACGGTTTCTGACCAACAGGATGATCAAGCATTTTAGCAAGAATAGTAGAGATATTCTGAAAAGAAAAACAATTGATTGAAATAAGAACAGATTGTTTTATTATTTACTGTCGCTTGATCATGCGATACGTGGGTGTTATTAATTGGTTTTCGAAGTTCTGACGAAGCTGTTGCATTATAAATCAAATCAGCATTAAATATTGGTGCTTGTGGAATATTTCTAGTAGGTGTTGGTAATCGATCATGATTATATTCAGAAGAGCTCCGTAGTTGTGTTGAATTTGATGAATATGAATGATCAGTTCTGAAATCAGGATTTTTTAAAGATGTTGACACAAGAATTTTTATGAATATTTACTTTTTTATTGTTAGGAAAAGAGCATTACCACAATGTTGAATCAATTTAAGTGCATCCTTATGTGTCATACATGTTGCATTATGGCCAGCAATTTCTAACAATACATCGCCTGGATCAATTTTACCATCACCAGGAGAATTTGGTATAATCTATCAGTAAAAATCACTGTTATAAATGTTTACCTTTTATCAAATCTGTAAAACAAATTTTTATCCCATAAAAAAACATGATTAACTACATATTTTATTTTAAAAACTATTCAAAGAAGATTATCTAAAATAATCTGTTATTTTATCTATATTGATTAATGAATACATATGTCAAAACCATATATATAGATCTAAAAATAAACTAGTTAATACTTACATTCGTAAGTGTCAATGGCGTACCATGCTCAAATCCACCTTGTAATCGAAAACCCCATGCCGTATTATTATCTAGTTTACTAATAAAAACTTTAACCATTTCGTCTTCGTTAATTAGGTCAAATGTCGAGTGAATATCTAGATATGTTTTCCTATACACATAGAGTGTAGGCGACAATGACACATATTTTTTATGTGTTGTTCTCTCTCTCTCGTTTTGATGAATGTAGTGTATTTATATCAGTAATATCAGAAAAATAAGACCCAAATATATGTTCTCTATCTTTGGATGCAAGTGATGATATATGTATATTATAATGAGAAAAAGGAATATAATAAGTACAAGATTTTCTTGATCTTTAGATGTGTATATATAATCTAAGTTTTCTGTAGATAAGAAGAGAAATAAATAGTGTTGACCAACATGATTTTCTAAATATTGATGCAGTAATAAGAATGACTCATGTTATATAAGATGAACTTCAAAATATATGAAAAATTTTTATTAATAAATAATTATAAGATTTGTACTTAAAAAGTGGGATGACTTTAAATAGATACAATGTTGTAAATTTGATATTTATGTTAGCTACTGATGCACAGTAATAATTTACTTTTAATACATCATAATAACTCTTTTATATTACAATATACATTGTGTTACTTAGCAACAGATATACTTCAAAATTGTCAGACAAATTTTAATTACATTTCAATGCCAACTTCTTTAATTAAATTGCATACGATTTTGAAATATAATAACTCACAAACAGCAGCTTTTGTTTTCATATAATTACAAAACATATAACTCATCCATAGAGTGAATAATATAATTATAATCTCTGTTTAGAATATTTTCTTCTTCTCCTACACTACGTACTTTAATACTGTCATTTTCACATGAATAAAAAAATCAAATTGTACTAAAAATGATGTGCTATCATTTTTTTCCTGTTATCTCACACATAGTATTTTGTTCACATTTATTCCTAGAATAACTCTCTTTCTCTAGTCCACACGCACACACATATAGGAATTCTTCAATAAAGAAAAAAAAACATGAGAAGATGAATACAGACATTGAGAAAAAAGTGAGCTCGTGCACAGGCAAGCAGTAGACAATACAGAAACAAAGAAGACAAGAAAATTACACACAGACGTATGTTGAACGAATGGGTGTGCAAAACGAGGAAAGAATTCGAAGAAAAAAAAAAGAGCAACCGTCGATCGATGATCAAAAAAAAGAATAAATATAGTACGAACAACGGACCGTTGTTAGAGATATACAGTGGTAAGAGAAAATGATCTATTTACTAGCCTCTAGACGGCTAGCTAATGTATTATTATTTGGTTGTTGTGCACCGTAACTTCTAAGTACTTGACATACATGATCATGTTGCTGAGATTCGGCTAAATCATAAGCAGTTACATCTTGTTCTTCGAAACGAAATTGTTGATCGACATTTGCACCATGTTCACATAAGATTCGTACTGTATCAGCATGACCCATTGCTGCTGCAATGTGCAAACACGAGAGACCACTCTAAATAAATAATAATATTATAGTACACATTTTATCTATAAAATACAAGTTCTTTATAATGTATTTCTTATATGCAGCGATTGAATCAATATAGATTCTTTGCACAATACATGTTTTTCTTGTTACATTTCACTATTATCGAATATTAAAATTTTTCTTATTCAAAGCAGTCAACAACTATTTATTGAGATTACTTTCTGTAAAATACTATTTAAATTGGGTATTTTCGTTTCATTAATAATACAAGTACAATGAACTTACTTTTTCTGTTCCATTGACATCTGCTCCTTTCTCAATTAAATACTGGACAATATCTTGAAAGCCTTTTGCACATGCACAAAATAAAGGTGTGCGACCAGCGGTTTCACCCTAATAAGCAAGAAGACAAATAAAATATTCATCAATAAATATTTTCATCTATTCTCTTACTTTTCCTTCAATTGTATAATTAACATCTAAACCAGCATCAACTAATAATCGTAATATATCAAATGAACCTGATTCAGCTGCAACAATTAAACCATTAATTTTTCCATCATATAAATTTTTGGCTTCAATATCATGTTTTGCTCCATGATTAATAAGTAATCTTGCTAAATCAACGTTATTATGCTGACAAATAGCAAGAAATGGTGATGAACCACGTTCCGATACTGCATTAACATCTGCACCAGATTCAACTAATTGTCGAATAATTGTTTCATGATTTCTCATACATGCTACTAATAATGGTGTTTGATTTTCAATATGAAGATCACATGCAATTTGTCCTTTTGGTGAACAATTTAAATCGGCACCAGATCGTATTAATAATTGAACTACTTCTAAATGACCTTCTTCAGTTGCTGTATACATTGGAGTGGCACCAGTCTAATTAAAATTTAATTCATTATATTTAATGAAAATGAATAAACAAAAAAAATATACCATTGTGACAGCATTAACATCGGCACCATTATTTATGAGAAATTCGCAAATTTCGACGTGACCTTTTTTCGCTGCACCGAAAAGAGGTGTCTAAATTGAAAATAAATATATTAATAGTTTTTTTTGAGTATTCTGTATGGTAAGTGATTTTGAAAAGTTAAAATAAGACAATCTGGTAACATAACTACTCGTGAAATAAACATATGAAGGTTATGTATTCTATGATGTTGAATATAATTTAGTTGCTATAGAAAATCTATTTATTAATTAATAAAAGATTATTTTCATTGACTTTAGACTTTAATTACTATGAAAATGAAACTTTGCTCATTTATCTCGATTATTGTAGTGATGTATCTATTTTATACATTTTTCTTTCCTGATTATGATGGTAATACATTGACTGCCTTTTAAATTGAATAATGAGTAACTAAGAAGTATAAAAACTTCATTCTTTCTTTCTTTCCTTCTATGAAATATATGAGTTTTACAAAACTATAATAATGTATAAATCATACCTGTCCAGCAAGAAGATTTTCTTCTGCTAATTCTCCTTGCGGTGTAATATTAACATCAGCACCAGCTTCTACTAATGCTTGAACAAGTTCTCGATTACCCGATTCTGCACAAAGAAGTAATGGTGATACACCATAACGATTTTGTACATTAACTAAGGCTCTTCGTTTAATTAAATATTTCACAACATCTACACGATCTTTTAATGTAGCCATGAATAATGCTGTTTGACCAGTTATATTTAAATTATCAGCATCTGGACCACTTGGTGCAAAATCAAGATCAGCACTGGCTTCAACACACGCTTCAATTATATCTAAATCACATATTTCCGATGCAAGTAAAAATGGTGTTGAACCTAATTTTGTTACTGCATTTGGGTCAGCACCAGATTTAAGAAGTAATTTAACAACATCAAATTTACGAGATTTCATTGCAGCATATAGCGGTGTCCAACCAGTTATATTTAATTCATCTGCTAAATTACCAAATGGAGCAACATGTGTGTCAGCGCCAGCATTCAATAATAATTCTACAACAGGTAACATGCCTTTTTGTGCTGGAATCCATAATGCACTAACACCATAATGATTTTGAACACGTGGATTAGCATCATGATCTAATAAAAATTTAACTATTTCTATGCGACCTTCTTTTGCTGCACAAAATAATGGTGTTTGACCACATAAATTCATGGTTAAGGCTAATTGACCTAAAAAAATTAATTATTTATAAAATGATATGTACAAGAACAATCATTCAATTTTTCTTACCACTTGGTGCTAATTCTAAATCAGCTCCGGCTTGTACAAGCAATTTAACACATTCGAAATAACCTTGTTCTGCTGCAAGCATTAATGCTGATATACCCGATTGATTCTGATGATTTGGATTAGCATGATTATCTAATAAATGCTTAACACAATCGGGATGATTATATTTAGTTGCACCAATCAATGGTGTTGAACCAGCTATTTTATTTTCTTCAGCTCGTTTACCAGATGGAGCAGAATCAACAATAGCACCACGTTTTAATAAAATATCAAGAATATCTGGCCAACCAACTTCGGCAACCATTAATAATGGTGTAATACCGGATAATGATGCTTTGTTCACTTCGACTTCTGGACATGCTAGAAGAAGAAAAAAAAAACAACGAAAAATCGAATGTAATTATAGATAATTTAGATCTATAAACTTACAAGCTAAAATTTCGGTGACACCTTTATGTTTTTTTCCAGCTGCTATACTTAATGCTGTCAGACCATCGGCATCTCGATAACCTGAAAGAAAAAAGAAAATATTTAAATTTAAATACGCATATATTTAATATATAATGAAAGAAAGTAGCTTATTTAGAAAGCATCACAAGATTTAAATAAGAATAAGTGGTATCAGTATATAGAAAAGATGCGTTTTCATCATCTAATGATGGTATATAATGTATTGCTCATATGTTGAACCATAAAAAAGATAAAATAGTAATGATTATCTTTTATTTCGTGTCTCATTAAATATCGTTGTATAATGACGATCTATTGTTATATTTACTTGAAAATATAAAATAGCATATACAAAAAAACAAAGTTGAGCATTAGATTGAATTATTGTAGTTGGTAAAAGGAATATATGTAAATTTATATAAACGTGAAATTCATTTTTTTCAAACCACGTTTTATGTATGAAGTTATAAATTTAATCTCTTCTTAATCGTAAGTAAAATTTTCGTTTGTTTCTTTTTCAACATCAGATAATGATGTATAAATCATAATTGATAAGCGTGATAAAAGGTTAAAAGTATATTGCGCAAATACGTATGTCACAAAATAATAATCAATATAACAGTGATAATGCCAACCATGTCCCATTAGATCAAGTTCACCAATAACTAATGCTCGATTTTTATCATTAAATGATAGTCATAAAATATTATCTGTATAATTATGTATATCTCTAAGGTGTTCAATATCAATTCAATTGACGTTTAGAATTGAATACTTCATCATAATCTCGTGATCAAATTAAAAGTACACTTTTACTGACTATTGAAACTAACAGTGAATTGTTTCTTGTATGATGATGATATGATCTAATTCAATTTCATAACCATAAAAATTAACTACCAGGGGCATATCTTGCCATACAAGCGTATCTAGGATATTGTACACCAATAATATCATTTTTCGGTCTCACTTTTCATATATATTTTATTGTATTGAAACTTAACCTTTTCATTTGTTTTATATTATATTGATATGCATCATCGGTTAGTGAACAGTAAAGATCATCAGGCCAATAACCTTGATCAAGAATTCTAATCATAAAATATGGTTTATTATTGAGATAAATTCTTTTCTTTTTTTTGCACCAACTAAAATTTGTTTAAAGCCAAGATAACTATCAATACGAGTATCATATTGATATGGATTTTCAAGTAACCAAAGACTTATTTTTGTTAAAGAAAATAAAAATTCTGAATTTCTTATGTTCATAATAAACTTTCTTTGTTTTTACTGTTTCATTCCTTCGTATATCTGATAAATATACTTCTCGTTGAGTATTTGATGAATGTTGATCAATTGTAATGATGATAAATGCTGTTAAATCAATTTGCTATCTTAACAAGGATGTGTTGATGAAAGTCTTGTTGTACATTGTCAACGATTAATAAGAATAGGTTTTCACGTGGTTGACACCAATCATTTATTGGATTCCAAACACGTACAACTAATTCATCTATTTCATAATCGTTAAAATGTTTTGTATCAACTATATAACGATTTATATAAATAATATTTCTATAATCTACTCTATCACAATGTAATAACATATAATTTGTTTTTATGATCATCATTATATCACACTAGAGATTTTATTCAAAGTATTCGTTAATATCATAAATATAGTGTTGAATCAACACGTTCTTGAATAGTAGATAAATAGAATTCAGCAGAAAAATGTTCTGAAAAAATTCTTAATTTCTCTTTATAATTGAAAATGACCAATTTCCATTTAAATGTAGATAAGAATAACCATTAAGAAATAGTTTGTTTTTTTCTTCCTTCATAACTTGTCTTGTTCATTTTATTGATAATGTAGACGCGAAGAAGCAGAAGAGAAAGTTAAAATGGGAATATGAGGAATAGAATATTCATAAGATAAAAGTTAAAAATGATGAAATAAAATCATATTCTACGTGAACAATTTATATTATTAGAGAAACACTTATTTGAATCGAAAATTTAGAAGAAAAAAAAACGAACGAAAGAAAGATTTTGATTTATTATTATTATTTTTACATACCCATATTAAGTACTTCTTTCTTCGTCGTTGTTGCTTTACGTCGATCAAGTTCATCAAGAATTTCTTTAATTCGTTTATCATCACCTTTTTGTGCTGCTATTGATATATCCTGATGATATCGTTCAAGATCACCTTCGGCTTTACTTGCCTTCGTACCCGTACAACCCATTATGTCTGAAATAAATCAAATGATCGAGATAAAACAAAAAAAACGATATAATTCTGTTTTATGATTTTATACGCACATACTTAACAGAATGTTAAAACAAGGTTAATACTTACTTCCGATCGAATAGTACCATTTCTGGTATATCTCTGATTAATAATTGAAAAAAACTGAAAAACTATTCTGAATGAGATAGGACAAGAAAAGATGTTTGATTATTCAACCGAAAAATGAAAGAAAAAAAAGCTGAAGAAGAGGGAACAAATTACTTTTATATGTCTCTCTTATATCTTTGAAGAAGGTGTATGTATTAAAAAGCCATTTCAGATATATATGAAACATACGAAAAGAGAATGATTCATGTACGGTTTTATGTTATGTATGGGCATAATGGACGAGAATATAAGACAGACAAAATAAATAGAAACATTTATGTCGTAGGAAAGGAGAAGAAGAAGAAGACGAAGAACATGTAGATGTAAAAAACAACAGTATGAGTCAGACAATATCCATTGAAACAAGAATTAAAATAAATTTGCAATATTTTTATTGTGACAGAAAAAAAACCCAGTTGAAGAAAAAAAGAATATTTAATCATTTGTTTTTTTTTCATCTTGACAATTGTACAATATTATAGATGTCACTAATGATTATGAAAATATTTTACTTCATATTCTTACTTTCTACAAATAAATTATACAAGAAAAAAACAAAATATATATATATATATAATTCATTTAATCATTATAATAACGAATCAATCATATAAATGAGTCATAAACGTCAAATAAAACTAGAGTTGTATATTTACAAATGAAACAATCAAAACAGTTGTGTGCATGTGCATTGAAGTAGTTCGAAACAAAACATGAACTCATTCGATTTAATATAACAAATGGTTATAGGTACATGAAAAGTTACGGTTATTAAACATATATGTTATCACTATACAATCTTTTTTTTTCTATTCACTTTTGACACGTATATGGTCGTTATTTTGTTTGTTTCATCATACAATTTGTCCTTTTCGCTTGTGTATATGTTGGAGTAGCTGCTATTCAATGAAACAATTTAAATCAATATAAAGATAATATATTTGAAAATTTTCTTTCGAAGGATATATTTCCATCTAAGAGAAAAACTATTATCAGAAAATATTAGAAGAAGTTTGTTATTCATTTTGATATATTATTCAAAACAAGGAAAAAAAAATATAATGACATGTACTTTTTTCTAAGAAATAATGTATAGTTAATTGATTTTTTGAGTAGACTTCGTTTTTACGAACGAAATTATTTACTAATATATTATTTCATATAAAAAAAGTGTTTTAATATTCATTTCTCTGAATTTATTGTTGAATAAAGTGTTAGATTTATCACGCGATAAATTTCTAATGGGCAATTCTATGAATTTACCTTAGAGTACGTTGTATACTAATAAAAAATAATTTCGTTTTTTTTGAAGTTAATTTAATGATGATATGTACTACTCGAATATAACGTAAACGATTTAATTAGTATTATAGGATGCCTATGTAAATATTGTATTTATCGAGAACATTAGCTATATGACTTATTGTGTTGACAACTGTCAATCGATAACGATATTTATCTTTGATAAATGCGCACATTAAATAATATTTATCTTGAAATAAAATAATTACCCATTTATATTCATTTTTTCATATTATTGTATTGTTAGAAAGCAAATCTAAGTATTATTTTGTTTCCGAATTGTAATTGAAAAATAAATATATGTTATATTTTAATCAATGTACTATATTTATTGGTTCTCAAATTAATTCAAAATATCTCAAATAGTACGATGGCAATCTTCATATTTGTGTTAAGTATAAGTACAATTTAATTCAAGGACATCTCACACTAACAACAAATGTGTTGGTCATAAATATAAGGAGTAGATGTAGTCAATGAATATAATATTGAGTAATATTTCTATTATAACTCTTTACTATAAACTTTGAAAGAATATTTTCGTGAATATTCATTCTGTATTTTAAGATCCATGTGTAAAGAATTATATCATAAGGAGATTACAGTAATGGTACAAGAATGGCTTAGTCATCACACATAAACTTTTTTGTCAATATATTGATTGTATCTTTGATGAAAAAGAATTTCAAATTGTAAATGTAATTTGAGATAAAAGCTATTAGCAAATGACGTCATTAACATAATATGTCATAGGGTATAAATAAATTGAATCAAGTACGATTCAGTAGAAAACAATATCGATACCTTTTCATTCACTAAATGTCTAACTGTCATATATTATAATCTTGTTACAATTTAATAGTTATAAAGTAACAATGCATCTTATCGCAATTATCTTAAGTGTAATATCAATTAGTATATAGGTCGTTTCGGATGATAAGAATAAAATAAAACAAAAACGTTTTGTTACCTTAACAACATATTTTTAAAAATTTAATCAATAGATCGAAATTATAAACAATTATTATTACATAACGATGTTTTTCTCTAATTAGGAATAAATCTATCAGCAATAAATACTGACTCTAGTTTGAGATCAATAGCACTTTATTATTAATTGAACATACGTCATCATTAATAATTAAAACCCATGTAATAATTAACGATACTATTAATTATAACACGAGAAAAGATCATATTAATCAGGGTTTTGTATTATATGAATTTCATGTATTCACGATCGTTCACTCTATCATGTTTTCCATTCCGTAGTCACGACATCTTTCGAATAATGTTATAATGTTATATTACTGATGATTCGCTATAGAAACTAACACGTCTACAAAATTATATAATCATCACGTATTCTGAATACTATAGTCTTGTTTCATTTTATTTTTCGCGTCATTAATATCATAATATGTCTTCTAATACAGCTACAGGAGCCCTTGCTTCACAAGTTGCTTCCGATGAAGCAGCTGTTGTTCGTCGAAAAGCAGCAGAAAAATGTCAAATTGTCTTAGAAACTTTATATGATTCTCGTAATGGTTTTAAACAATGCGCTGATGATTGTAAAGATCCATCAATGAAATTACTCTTTGACAAGATTTCTTCAATTCGTGCTGATTTTATTGCTCAATTATCAAATGTTATCAAAGTTGATTTAGGTGTTGAACCGTAAGAAATTAACTTTTTTTTTGAAATTTTTGTTTTTATCTTAATATATTTAATAAAATAGAATAAAAGAAGGTTCAGCTCTTGCAGCTGCTCATCGAACATGGATTGATGTTAAAGCATGGTTTACAGATGGACGAGATAAATCAGTAATTGTTACTGAAGTTCATCGTGGTGAAGATATTCTTATTAAATTTTATGAATCAGCTATCGAAGATCAACATATTTTACCTAAAGTTCGTGATCTTCTTCATGAACAACTTCGAACAATCAAAGAACAAAATATTTCAGTTGATACTATCTAAAATTTTTATATTTAATCATCAATATTATTCCTGTATTTAATCTCGCATAAACTTCTGTTTTTTTTTCTACAATGTATTTATTCTTTTATACTTAATAAATCATTCTAGTCAAAGAAAAAAATAAGATATAATAGATAAATATAAATTGTTCTAATTACAAGATAAAAAAAAAGAATAACTGACATTTACAAAATTCATGTCTTTTCTTTTATCTATTAACATTTTTCTTTTATCATCTCAGAAAGATTGAATCGAATAGTTTCTTTATTTTAACCACAATCAATAATACATTGAGTAGTATGTCGAAATTTCATTTGAATTACATCTATATTTTGATCGTATTGTTAACGTATGTGCAATGTCAACCATTATATCCGTTCACAATGTCATCGTGGATGAATAATACAAATACAACGAGATATAATATTAATACAATATCAAATACGAATCGTATAATATCGAATACAACAACTCAATATTTTATACCAAATAATGCCGTTAAAATTATTGGAAATATAGGATTTATTCTTCCTATATTTTTCATACGATATTTTCATTAATTATTTCGATTTTATTGTTATTCAAGCATGTTTAATAACACTTTTTTTTCTTCTTCATATATTCATTGATTTAATATATAATATAGAGTAATATTTACGATTATATTTGTTTTTTTTTCTTCAAATTAAATTAAATATAAAATATATAGAGGCTAATCAGTGTTTTATCTAGCTTTTTTCGTCCGAGGGTGCGAAATTAACTGCCGGGAGGGCAAAAATCTCTCTTCTGGGGGGGGGGGGAGGAGCAAACGTAGAGTTTCAGACTCAAAAAGCGTAATTTTTCTGAATTACGGGGGAGGGGCACCCTCCGAGAAGGCAAAAAACCCCGTGCCCCCCCCCCCCCCCGCTGGATAAACTACTGAGGCTAGTTTGATTGAGTAGGGGTGATTTTATATTATTTATGATATTCAACGTGGTACTTTGACTTTAAAAAAAGAAACACTAATTCTCACTTGGACGCTCCAGTATATTTCACATATTCTATCTCATTAGCGATGCTCGAATATGATCCTCATAAAGATCTGTAAGTCATGATATTGATATTTTTGTACTACGACTATTATTAATATTTAAAATAGATTCTTAGATTTCGTGATGACGCATTTATGAATTATTAAGATGTTAAACATGACATTTAGAAATTATTTCTGGAATAAAGATATTCTATATAAATACGCATAAGATTTTTATTTCAAATATAAAATAAAAGAATGAACATGAAACTGAAGGTTAAATTTTTCATGATAATTAATTAATTAATTATATGTTTATTTTATGAATGAATATTTTTTATCTCACCAAGATCTATAAACTACTATCAGTATATTAAACTTTTTATTTAGTTTTGTAATTATAATGTAATGAAATCTATTCATTTATTTAAATAACAAATAACGTTTGTCTAACCTGGAATATTATCTTCTTAGAGATAATGTTAGACGATAAGATTCTAATCAACATGGTTTATAGATTTAAAATTCAATTTGTTGTTAGTGTCATTAACAGACTCTTATTATTACTGGATATTCTTTCATAAAGATTTACCATACATAATAATGAAACTAATTTTTTTTTGTAAGCGCTAATATAAATCTATACTATTTAAAAGCATCTTTGTTTACTCATGTTCTTGAAGGGCTAAAGAACACATAAAAGACTGGATGCAAACTCAATAGAGGATTGTTAGAATTTACAATTAAATAATTACAAAAGAAAAATACATCGAATATATTGTATTTCATTTTACATGTGAAAATAATCAAGAAATGAGAAGTTTTTCTTCTAAACAAACAGTTCATTACCAATCAAATGAATATTCTTCATACGAAATATTGAAAAGATTAGCTACATTTAATAGGAAAAGAACAGTAATTTAAACTCCTGATGATATACTTTGACACGTTCATTATTTAATAACAACGAAAAAAAAACGTAGACATATAATATGTTTCTGTTCTCTTATTTAACTCTACATTAACTAGCGATAATCATGAAAATGAGTAAAGAGTCATGTTGCAAAGAATTCTCTCGAACTTATGCTCATTACAATGAATTCAAACAATTTTATTCAAATATCCTTCCATTAGTATATCTGACACATTTATAATCAGGACGCACTTATAAAATATTCTTCACAGGTAATATAAAATTTAGAAAACTCTTCTTTATTTAATTCAAAAACAAGAAATAAGTATCAATCAATAGAAAAGTAAGTCATTCCCTCAGAAAATTTATCCCGTCGTCTACCGTGCATGGTCATTTTTGTCCATACGTGTGTAAAATGCTTAATTTTCGGTGAAGACCTGAACTAATCGATATCAACTTTTTAGAATGTAAATTTGTATAGGTCTATCATCTGCTGAATACCCCCTTTTCAATAAATTTTTACTTTTCCTGAAAAAGTCAACGTTTTTTTGTACATAAAAAAAGCTCATATGATAGTATGATCTACCTATATGTGTTGTTTTTTCTGTCTCTTTATCTATTTTCTCATCTACTACACCGTATATATGTAGTAGACATCATATATATATATATATATATATATTATGATAAAGCTTTGAATTAGCATCAAATGCTGCAAATGCGAAATATAGGTGTCTAAAATGCATACTAGTGCGAAATGTGTGTCGAGAGTCCTGACATATCAGATTGATTAAATATATTAATGAGAAAACTGACTGAACTCAAATTTTTTATAATTTATATTTATAGACAAAAATATCCGTGAATGGTATTTCACGGGATTTTTTCGTATGGTAAACGAAGGGTTGATAGATAAATTAAGAATGAACCTACGTCGACGGAATGAAAATAATTCTATGTTCGTTTTTAGTATAAAATGAATATATCATCAAATGCTGGACGTGTAACAAATATCGAATGTATATTTTATCGTGGCATTGGTTTTGCTTTACTTATTGCTTCATTAATTAATTTATATGTTACTTTTCGTTATTTTATAAAACGATATTATCATCGAGAACATCATGTTGTTTCAAATCGATTATCACCGATTATGATTGGCATGTTAATTAGTTCTGTAGTAATCATTTTTTTTGCAATACCGGTAGCTATTATTCAATGTTTTACTTGCCGAGATTATTCATCGCATCAAATTCTTTGTAAACTACATGGTTTTATATGTTTTACTACGGGACTTTTTAATATGTAAGTAATATTCAAAATGAATCGATGTTTCATTATTGATAATATTTAATTTTAGGTATATGATAGCACTTCTATCATTTCTTCGATATTTTAGTATTTTACATAAATCAAATTGGTTTAATAGATTCTTAGAAAATCATCGTAATTTAAATACATTATTATGTGCATTATTATCTATTTGTTGGTCATTACCACCTTTATTAGATATTGGAAGTAGATATGTGCCGGAAGGTACTGGTTTTTATTGTAGTTTAGAATGGAATGATCCATCAATTCAATCACGTATTTATGTCCTATCTGTTATTTTTTTCAATTATATCATACCATTTTTTCTTATTATCTTTACAAATCTTCGTGTTTGGTATACACTTCGATGTTTATTAAAATCATGTTATAATAGTTATAATTATAGATCATTACCAGTAAATTCTTGTATTATAAAAGCTAATATTATTTCATCATCGTATATAATCGATAATAAAATATTAAATATTGAATTGGGAAAAGCTTTAATTGATGCTCAATTAAAAGAAACAACAAATCGGTTACAACGATTACAAATTGATCGACGTTATGCTTATATGACAGTTATGATGGCAGCTCAATATTTTCTTGTATGGACCCCATATGCATGTGTCTCAGCATTAGAACTTATTGGTCAAACAACATTTATTCGACAATATCCGTTTTTGCCAACTTTTTTTGCATTATTTGCTAAGTTATCGATTATTTTGAATCCAATAATTTTAATTTATACAAGTAAAATGGTACATTCATAAGATTTTATTAATATTATTGAATTAAATTAAACAGATGATTATTTTTTTTAATAAAATATACGAATCTATATATATTCAAACAATATTTACTATCAATCCAATGTTTTATTCGATAAACTTTACTGAGTGTCTCTATTTCATAACTGCTATTGTTATAATACAATCGTATTGATCAATAGTATCACAAAGAAACTATCCAATTTGTTTTCTTTTTCACTCTCACTTATAATAATCATTGGTTAAATTCTTTCTTCTATACAGTTGAATAATCAACTATACAAATATTATTTGATCAAGATATATGAACATGTTTTTATATGTGACAGGGTGGGTATGGAAGAAGACCAGTCCATACCTATGCATCCACACCCACCCAAGCGATTTTTTGATTAAAAGGAAACGCTAAAGTGTTCATATTATATTAAACTATCATATAGAAAATATTTTTTTCAAATAAATATAAGTAACATTAAATGAAAGTTGTTGAGCAAAGATTTGTTTTCTTTGTCACTAAATCATATATACTAATATTTATTTTAATCAAAGAACTTTAATATAATGTATGTATGGAAAAAAATTGAATTCACAAGATAAATAAATATTTTGAAAAAAAAATAAACTTATTAATTAAATAAAAAATATTGAAAACTAATTGTAATACTGATGAGTATTATTGATGATATATGATTTTGACTACTTGACATAAGATCTCCTGATGATCTAATGGTTATTGGTGGTTCATATCGATTACAATTATCTGTATTACAACAATAAACAAGATGATTTAGTTCATCTAGAGGCAGACAATATTCAACTCCACGTAAAATAATTTTATGTTCCTGAGTAATTGGATCATATGAATGATCATTCTAAAAACAAGCAAGCAAAAGGCAAAAAAAAAATAATGTTATTTCTTCTACTCATTAAATTTTCTTTTACCATACAAACATAACCTGAATCATATCTAGCAGTTACAAGATCATTTTCTTCACTTTCATCACCCCCATCAAAATTCATTGGTAAACGACAATTGTAATCGGGTCCAGTACACCTATAACATTGAATAGTTGATATATAATCAATCAATCCTAAATATAATATTAATTAAATCAGATGATAAAAGAAATATCTTATTACCAAAAAGAAGAAATATTTTTAACATCATAATTGTATATATTCAAACAATATTTACTATCAGTCTGTTACCGTTTCATCGTAAGTTGTAGAAGAAGATGATAGTTTGGAAGCTTAGTAATAGTTCGTTTATTTAAAAAGAAAACGCAAGTATTTCTAGGACAAAAAATGGTTACTTTGATCGTTCCCACCTCTTGTAATACAATATATTCTAGGACAAATATGAAGGAAAAAGAAAAATATCATATAAGGGTCCGGTACACTTTGCCGACGCCGTTTTGACGACAGATTAATTTGGCGACAGTTACAATTTTTTGTCAATTTGTTTTGCCACCATAATTTGTGCATATCTTAGCCCACTAAATCTACTAGATTCCAGGGTACAACACGAAACGGGATGTGATCTAATTTCTCTTAGATAGAGGGCAAACATATAGATAAATAACGACAACGAATACAGTTAATCGCGACGTATAATCTTGGGTATGGATTTAGGTATTCTATTTCACCCACACCCATATAGATATATATGTCAAAGAAAAGAAGAAAATACCATATGATCATATATGTGAAGTAATAGCGAACGAATATTCTATATATTCGCTTACACAATTCAATGTTGTATTCGATGAACTTTACTAAGTTTCTCTATTTCGTATTTGCTATTGTTATGACAAAATCGTATTGATCGATAATATCACAAAGAAATAATACAATTTGTTTTCTTTTTTGCTCTCAGTTATAATAATCATTGCTCATATTATTTCTTCTGTGCGATTGAATAATAAACTATACAAACGTTATTCGACTAAGATACATGAACATGTTTTATATATGACAGGGTAGGTGTGGAAGAAGACTAGTCCATACATATACATCCACACTCACTCACGCGATTTTTTGATCGAAAGAAAACGCTAAGGTGTTCATATTATATTAAACTATCATATAGAAAATACTTTTTTCAAATAAATATAAGTAACATTAAATGAAAGTTGTTGAGCAAAGATTTGTTTTCTTTTTCACTAGATGATATATACTGGTATTCATTTTAATCAAAGACCTTTAATATAATGTATGCATCGGAAAAAAAATTGAATTCACAAGATAAATAAATATTTTGAAAAAAACGAAACTTATTATTTTAATAAAAAATACTGAAAACTAATTGTAATACCAATGAGCAGTATTGATGATATATGATTTTGACTACTTGATTCACGTTCAGATTCGATTGTCGTAAGATTTGCTGGTATGCGAATGGTTATTTGTGGTGTATATTTATTACAATTATCTGTGTAACAACAATAAACACGATGATTTGGTTCATCTACTTCCTCGCAATCTGCAATTCCACGTAAAATGATTTTATGTTTCTGAGTACTTGGATCATATGAATGATCACGCTAAAAACAAACAAGCAAAAGGCAAAAGAAAAATAATGTTATTTTTCTATTTATTAAATTTTCTTTTACCATACAAACATAATTTGGAGGATAACTAGAAGTTACAATACCATTTTCGCTACTGTCATCACCATCATCAAAATACAGTGGAAAAGAACAGTAAAAACCGGATTCAGTGCATGTGTAACATTGAATAGTTGATTCAAGTTCATACTCAATTGTCGTAAAATCTATTGATATTCCAAAGGTTATTTGTGGTGCATCTCTATTACAATTATCCGTATAACAACAATAAACATGATGATTTAGTTCATTTACATCCTCACAATCTTCAACTCCACGTAAAATGATTTTATGTTTTTGAGTAATTGGATCATACGAATCATCACGCTAAAAAACGAACAAGCAAAGGACAAAAGAAAAATAATCTTGTTTCTCTAGTCATTAAATTTTCTTTTACCATGCAAGCGTAATTTGAAGGATAACTGGCAATTGCAATATCATTTTCCCTGCTTTCATCGCCACTATCAAAATTCAATGGTAAAGAACAATTGTAACCGGATTCAGTGCACATATAACATTGAATAGTTAATTTACGTTCAGATTCAGTTGTCGTAAGATCTGCTGATGTTCCAATGGTTATTTTTGGAGCATGTCTATTACAATTATCTGTGTAACAACAATAAACACGATGATTTGGTTCATCTACTTCCTCACAATCTTCAATTCCACGTAAAATGATTCTATGTTCTTGCGTATTCGGACTATATGAATGATCACTCTAAAAACAAACAAGCAAAGGACAAAAGAAAAATAATGTTATTTTTCTACTTATTAAACTTTCTTTTACCATACAAGCATAACCTGAATCATAATTAGCAGTTTGAATAGGATTTTCGTTACTTTCATCACCACCATCAAAATATAATGGTGCAGGGCAATTGTTACCGAGTCCAATGCACGTGTAACATTGAATAGTTGATATATGATCAATCATTCCTAAATAGAATATTAGTTAAATCAAATGATATAAAAAATGTTTTGTTACCAAAAAGTAGAAATATTTTTAACATCATAATTATAGATATTTAAATAATATTTACTATCAATTCAATGTTTTATTCGATAAAGTCTACTGGGTTTTTCTATTTCGTAATTGTTATTTTTATCACAAATAGGGGTGTTACTTTATCTTTGTTTTTCTTTATAATAAAGAATAAAGTAACAAAAATCTTTATTTTATAAAGAATAAAGTGAAAGTTAATCTTTATCTTTATTTATAAAGTAAAGATAAAGGAAAACCCCTAATGACTAAATCATATTGATCGATAATATTATAAAGAAACAATCCACTTTATTTTATTTTCTTTTTCGCTCTCAGTTGTAATAATTATTGGTTAAATTTTTTCTTCTATACGGCTGAATAATCAACTATGTATAGAAAGAGATCTTCATGAAAGTAGTTTATGGTGAAAGTTTCAGATGTATTCCTTGTACTCATTGATAGATACGACTGAAATAACCCAATGTAACTTGAGATGACTTATAAAGGTTAGTATTGATATTGTTATTTACAGTTAGGAGCATTTTGTAAAGCTGAAACTGTCATCATAAACTACTCTCATTAAGATCTCTCTATACAAAGTTTCAAGTTGAAATTCGAACATGAGTTTTACCGATGTTCCTGAGGGGACGACGGCATTAAGTTATCTCAATATGTTGAAGATACAATATCTCAACAACAACAAAGTTTGGACACGAGTCCTTTGAGAGTCTCTAATTACGTTGTGAGCCTTATCTATAGGCAAAATATGAGTTCAAACAGAAGGTGACACTTGGAGAAATTCTCTTGTAAGATACATATATATGTTTTTATATATGAAATTCGATATAGAGATATAAGTAAAAAACAAATAGTGTATAAAAGTTCTACAATATAATATTTAAAAAATTATGCAAGCTACTGTATTAAACAAGTTGAAATACCTAAATCCGGACCCAATGATGTTTTAATTAAGACTGTTGCATGTGGTGTATGTCATACAGATTTCCACTTTATACGTGGAGGTAAAACAAAAGATAATTGTCATGTAATTATATAATATTTTCTTTTCTATCATTAACCCTTTCAGACCCAAATTATTTTTTGCTGAATCGAATTCAAATAGTTTGTTAAAACAGCTTATTTTAGATATAGAGAGACATACCATTAATAACCCGCGTATTCTCGCACGTAATCTTCATCATAGAAATTGTATTTCTTATCAATAGATGAGTTATTTGTTATACTTTCTAGGTTAAAATTCATTTCTATCCGCTTTTGAGAATAATTGTATTTGATGAATAAACTACGGAGGAATCTAGTGCTTCGTTTCAATTGCACACTAATCTTTGTAAATATAGACTGACCAAAAATGCCACTTTATATACTGTCTTTGAAGGACATCTGAGACTGCATATAGAAAAAAATTCCGATAAAATCATGGTATTTTCTAGAGTTTTTCTTCTGGCGTTCGAGAAATTTTTCATCGGACGAAGAAAGAATGATATTATAGCTTGAAAAAGCAAAAATATAAAGGTGACCTCTGCCACGCAAATATTCTGCAAAAATTCTACAAACACTCTCTAGCTCTTCCTGTCAAGGGATTCTCTGTACTTATTTTTATATATTTTGTTATGAAAAATAAATATAAAACATGTGTAGCTTTTTTTATACCGTGGAACTGAAAGGGTTAACTAAAAGACCGGGAAATATTTCAATAATTTCTTCCTCGTATCCTTGACCATGAATGTATAGCTGAAGTCAAGGGCTTGTTTTCTTTGTCACTAAATCATATATACTAATATTTATTTTAATCAAAGAACTTTAATATAATGTATGTATGGAAAAAAATTGAATTCACAAGATAAAGAAATATTTTGACAAAAAAAGAAACTTATTAATTGAATAAAAAAAATTGAAAAATAATTGTAATACCAATGAGTATTATTGATGATATATGAATTTGACTACTTGACATAAGATCTGCTGATGTTTTGATGGTTATTTCTGGTGCATATCTATTACAATTATCAGTCGTATTACAACAATAAACACGATGGTTTGGTTCATCTATATCTCTACAATTTCCAACTCCATGTAAAATATATTTATGTTCACCAGTAGTTGGATTATATGAATGATCATTCTAAAAAACAGACAAGCAAAAGACAAAAGAAAATAATGTTATTTTTTCTATTTATTAAATTTTCTCTTACTAAACACACAAATGATGAAGGATAAGTAGCTTTTGTAATATAATTTTCCCTACTTTTATCACCACCATCAAAATTCAATGGTACAGGACAATAGAAACCGTTTTCAACGCAGCTATAACATTGAATAGTTGATATATAATCAATCATTCCTAAATATAATATTAATTAAATCAGATGATAGAAGAAATATTTTATTACCAAAAAGTAGAAATATTTTTAATATCATAACTATATATATTCAAACAATATTTACTATCAAACCAATATTTTATTCGATAAAGTTTATTGAGTTCTTCTATTTCGTAATTGCTATCGTTATAACAAACAAGGGTGTTACTTGCTATCGCTTCTCTTTTGTTCTTAATTCCTATTCTTTAATAAAACAGGGATCATCATTCTCTTCATAAGTTTCACCCCTTAAATACTCAACAATATCAGTAGTACGTGACAAAATGAAAGAGAATCAGCATTCTTTATGGCAAGAGATATATCATGCCATAACATTACTTTATCTTTAATTCAGTTTATAATAAAGAATAAAGTAACGAAAATCTTTGTCGTTATTTATAAAGTAAAGATAAAGTAACACCCCTAATGACTTAATCATATTGATCGATAATATCACAAAGAAATAATCCATTTTGTTTTCTTTTTCGCCCTCAATTATAATAGTCATTGGTTAGATTCATTATTCTATACGGTTGAATAATCAACTATACATATATATATATGTTTTTGTATATGAAATTCGTATTCGATAAAGAGATAAGTAAACGATAAATAGAGTGTATAAAAATTCTACAATATAATATTGAAAAAATGATGCAAGCTGCTGTATTAAACAAGTTCAAAGAACCTCTTGAAATTAAACAAGTTGAAATACCTAAACCAGGACCTAATGATGTTTTGATTAAGACTATTGCTTGTGGTGTATGTCATACGGATTTACATTTTATACGTGGAGGTAAAACAAAAAAGATGATTGCCATGTAGTTATATAATATCTTCTTTTTTTATCATTAATTGCAAGATTGGGAAATATTTCAACAATTTCTTCCTCGTATTCCTGGTCATGAAGGTATAGGTGAAGTCATTGAAATTGGTTCAAATGTTGATGCTTGCATAAAAAAAGGTGATATTCTTGGTATTCCATGGATACATGAAACATGTCTTCAATGTGAATATTGTTTATCGAATCGAGAAGAAGTTTGCCCAAAATTAATTCGATCAGGCGTTACTGTTGATGGTTGTTTTGCTGAATATGTATTAATGAATGCAAATTTTGCTATTAAACCTCCAGATGGTATGGATCCATACACATCAGCACCAATCTATTGTGCAGGTGTTACAATGTATAAAGCTTTAAAAACTTCTAAAGTTCAACCGGGACAATGGATATCAATTGTGGGTATCGGTGGTCTTGGTAATATCTGATTTGTTTTTTTTAGAAATAGAAGTTTTGTATGATAGTTTTTCTTACATTTTTTTAAGGATCGATTGGTATTAAATATGCTGTTGCAATGGGAATGAAGGTATTGGCTGTAGTAGCACCAGATGATAAAGTAAGATTTTCGATATTTAAAAATTATTTTTATTTTATTATTTACAGGTTGCTGTACAATTAGCTAAAGATATGGGAGCAGAAGAAGGTAAATTCTTTCATCTAATAACTGATTCAGTAGCTTGGTTCTATTAAAATCTTAACTGAAATGACATAGACAGATGATTATCAGATTCATTTACTTTGACAAACATACAGTAGTTACAATTTAGTCATTTTGTCTGACACAGTATTCAAAAAAATATAGGAGAATATTTTAAATAAATAGAATTACTATCATGTACATTATACATGATGAGACAGATATAGTTTTATCTTCTAGTTTACGATGGCCCAGCAGAAAAACATGGAGAATGGATTCAAAATAAAGTTGGTGGTGTTGAAGCATCGATTGTCACTGTTCCTTTAATTATTGCTTTTGATCAAGCATTTGTATCAGTCAAGCGTTGTGGTCGAGTCATAGGTGTTGGTATACCTAAAGGTAATATGTCTTTTCCAATTGCTCGATGGGTTACTAGTGGAATCGAATTAATTGGTTCAACTCTTGGTTCACGACAAGATTTACAAGAATCATTAGATTTTGCTAAACTTCATGGAATTGAATGTAAAATAGAGAAACGTAAATTAAAGGATATCAATCAAATTTTCGAAGACATGTCGAATTATAAAATTAATGGAAGAATTGTTATTGATTTTTTAGAAAAATAACCTTTTATTATTAATAAAATAACCATAAGAAAATCTTGTTCGTTTATTTTCGAAAAAACAATTAATATATTTCATTATAAATCCAAGTTTTCATGTACTATCTATCCGTTTAATTTTGTATTCAAATATATAAACCAATCATATATAAAGAATTTCTTTTGAAATATCTACAAAAACATATCAAGAAAATCAGAACAATTGCGACAAAATATTGTCTATGACAACCATATAGAATCTTTCTCTGAGATAAATCATATATAACTATTAAACTGATTAATATTCATACTCTCAAGTGTGATAAGAAAACTACACAAAAATTAATATAGAAAATAGTACCATCGTAAATGAGAGTTTGCATAAAACTTATCATAATATGAGGTATCTACTTCTTGTTCGCTTTTAGTAGTTTATTTGATGTAAATTTTATTTACTATAAATCTATATATCGGTTTTTCTAATATTAGAATGTTAAGCTTTTTATTAATGATTGTGTGACATCGAGAGTTTTATATACTATTTTATTATAGTTTTTGTATGATCATGTTTTTCATCTAACATATTTTTAATGAAGTTTTTTATATAATCATTATACCGTCAGTAGGAACTAAAGAAATATGTTTTCACTATTTATTATATATAATAAGATGTAATTGCTTACGGATTATTCTTTTTTCATATGTATTCTCACGTTATTTACGTTTTTATCAGTTTCTATACATAAGGAAGAAAAATAGTGCATGATATATTCACCTGGATAACGTGCAGACAGACAGATACACGTGATTTATTCATATTTTAGTGTTATTATTAGAAGGGATAAATCACTTTCTTGATCATATCAAAGAAATTATATGATAAATCAATGCAATCATTTTTATATTTAATGTTCTACCTTAGTATAGACAAGTTTATTCATGTGTTGCAATTATTTTCATTTAAAATCAAATTGAATATACATTATCATAACATTCTGATCTATTTTTAATACTTATAAAATTATTTCAATGATATATTTTTCATGAAAAAGATTTATAAAGAAATAGTTCTATCGTATGAATTCCATATCAAGATCCTAATTTAATAAAGATTATTTCGAGATGAATTAGAAAAAAAAATATACAGATCAAACAAGATTTTGTATATCTGTAATTGAATTTTTTTAAAAACCTATTTACTTTGATATATTGATTATTTTTATCTCTCTTGTTTATCATATAAATTCAGTTCAACAAATACACGAGATTCAAAATTCATTAGTTAAAAAAAAATGAGAAACAAGGGTATTCAAGAGTTTTAATGTAAAAAAATTAAATCTGCGCATACTTTAAAAAGCTTATAAACTTTTTTGCTTGATTTAATAACATTTATATTAATTGAAAGACATCTAATGGTGATTATTAAGTCAGTTTTGTTTCACAGTTAAGATTTCACATTGAGTTCTCAATAACAGAACTTCCTAATATGATATTCTATTCGTTTTTAAATGCGTCTTTGGAAAATATATATTCACCTATTTTTATTTAATTTGATAAATAATTGTAAACAAAACTTGAAAAAAAATAACCGAAATTTATTTTATGTTACTTAATAAACATTTGTACAATAATATATTATAGTAAAAATATCAATATTGAATAAATGACAGTTAATATCACGTTATCTTTGCTCGTTTATTATAATAAATCAGATTTAAGATAAGAACAAAAAAAAATATTTTAATTAATTTTATCTGAATGTATGAAAAGGTATCATCGAAAAACGGTGGATATAGATATAATGAAAAAGAAAAAAAACAATGTTCGATAGCTTGGTAAATAGTCTTAATATAATTTTAAAAAAATGACTGGATAAAGCAACGTGACAATACGTCTAAACAATGATAAATTAGGAATCTATATCAATAACAAATAAGTACTCACAATGATTTTGTCCTTGTGGTTTACCTTTCTTTATGCTTGAATACTTCACGAATGATTGAATTTTCATGATTTTCTACTTCCGATCTCATTTGATATATATCAATAATATTTCAAAAGAACCTGCAATGTTTAGATTGACAGGTTAAGCGGACTGTTTTCTTATCTTGATATCATGTGAAATAGTTTTCAATATTTTCTTCATTTCTGTAAAAATAAAGAATTTAATCTATACATTTATTAATAAACGATTTAAATAACAATTTTGTATTTTATTGTTGTATTTTTATTTGTCAAAATCACATATTGTTTGATATGCATAAATATTTATGAATAGAAAAATACGTGATTTTGCTCGATCATGCAATTTTAATTATATGCTATCAGTCGTAGGGTTGTGACTTTTGTTTATGTCTGATGACATCAATGCGTACAGGTAAGCAAGAGTAAGTTTTTATATAAAAATATATGTTTCGTTTTAGAATAAGGTGAGTACTCGTTTTGTCGATAGAAACGACAGTTATGAAACTATTCAATCCATCGATACCTATTCGTGTTGGTTCAATTGTTGTTGGTCTCGCTGTTCTAGCAGCCATAATTGGCACTAGTGTGTATGTTACTACTCAAATCCCGAATGTCTTAACTGACCAATATGTCGTTCAAGCAGATATGCATTTAGTGATTGATCGTTTGATTGCCGACTATGAACGTGATCAATTTTACAGTTCAAAGCAAACTTTAAAGGATTTCATTCTTAGTCTTAATGAAAAATATATCAATCATTTTCCGGATTCGTGTATTAAACTTATTGTTACTGCATTCAGTGCAAAACCAACTGTATTTGAAAATCTTCCGGGTGATTTCGAAGAAAAACCCAATGGTACTCCATCGATCGTAACTTTAAATGCCACTGTTTATTTCAAGGATAACTATACTTATACTGCTGACGAAATTCGTAATGCTCTTATAAATTATACACGAATTATTTATCTTGTCAACAGATATAATGGTCAACCAAGTGGAGGATTGGGTATTCTTTCCATGCAAAAATCAAGTTTTACAGGCACATATCGTACTAAATTAACAGAAACTGACGCAAAAGAAAAGCAAGACTGCGGTACTGATGATACAGAAATAACCGTTGTCACTACGTCAGGACCACCTATCAATGGTAATCAGACCAATCCGACTTCTAACATTACAATAAGTCCCTGTCAATCTTTTGTTCAGTCATATATGAGTATAACATTTGAGCGTAGTCTGGCAAATAATGAAAGATCCGTATTTAAAAATCTATCATCTACATTACGACAGCTGGATACAGATCTTCAAACACGAATTATATCTCGTTTTGGAGACTTATTTGTTAAATTAGATATTTTACTTTTTTCTGATACACCCATTCTAATCACCAATACTGGCAGAAGTGCAGCAGATAATCAAACAGTAATTACAACGGTTATAGTACGTGCATATTTTACACAAGATCAGCGCAGTACAGCGATTGAAAATGCTTTCCTTGGTTCGACAGAATCTATTACTCTATTGAACTTGGAAAATAATCCAAGTTCTGCACTTGCAAACTTTTCGACAAAATATTCAATTGTTACAGATACCCTTTCTCCACAATTAACTAATGAACAATTGAGTGAGCTCACTCTTTTGTGTCTGACACCACCAACCACTACAGTGACACCAACACCATCAACA